CGTGTACTCTCTAGGGGACCAACTCTCCTGGCATGTTATCCCTCTATTTAGCCGGTTTCTACTCTTTCCATCCAGCCGCCTCCCGAAGCCTGGTAGAGGCTAACGTTCCCGTAATCTCCAGGCAGATCCCTTTCGGTGGCAAGATTTAGTACTCATTAGCCAGAGGAGTTTGTACGGCCACCGAATTGATACTCCTATGGCTAATGGATACTGCCTTGCCACCGTATGATCTGCTTGGAGATTAGCGTTCCCGTAGGTTTTTTCCAGCCGGACGGAAACGTAAATATGTTCTCCCACCTGCTGCGTCACGGGGGGCAGGGTAAACAGTCCGGGGAACCGAAACTACAATCTCCCAAATCTCCAAGCAGATTCGGTGGGGACTTTATATTGGACGCCTGTATCCATGTGTGGCGGGCAATATTAAGTCCCCTTGCCCCACTAAAAACACTACCTTGATTTTTCATGGATGTAATAAGAAATCTCATGCCCGAGCTATAAAATTTAATGACGATCTGGCATGTCCCACAGGTACGAGGAACGCTGCATGCGGGCTGAACTACCGGCCCTGCAGTTCGCCGGGCGGCCGCACGGTGGTGTGCGTGCACGTGCAGTACGTGTGTGACGGCACGGCGGACTGTCCCAATGCTGAGGACGAGCAGGGGTGCACAGCCGACAGACAGACCACGCCGCAGTACGACCATAGCGACGGCTGCCCACCATCCAGCCAAGCAGGTAGGGGACGGATAGGGTCTTTTTTAAATATCAAGTCATTATTGGTATTTAAAAGTCTAGATGTTAGACTCGTTATATAGTACCGAATTATCGATTTGCTGTGAATTCCATCCAATGATCCATTACAATTGTTGGGCAGTAAAGTAGTGGAAGTTAGGTAACGCCCTTATTGTTGTATTATTGTCGACTGCAGTAAAGTAAAGTAGATAACCCCGTTTCCCCTTCCATCCTTTCCCAGTACTGCAGTATCCATTGTTGCATTATTGTGTGAAGTTCAGATAACCCATTCAATTTTTCCCCTCCTCTCTCTGATCCTCTCTCACAGTGAGTCTCCCTCCCGAACTGGGCAATCGCAACCATCAACTTCCTGGGTTTCCCCGTCATTATTGTTGTATTATTGTTGTGTTATTGTTGTATTACTGTTGTATTATGGTTGTATTACAGTCTCCCTGCCAAACTGGGCGATCGCCACCATCAACTTCCTGGGCTTCCCCGTGACTGTCGTCTGCATCCTCTTCCTCAAGTGGCTCTTCTGTCTGGGCAGAAAAAAGGCGGGAAAAACCGCGTCGCCATGGTGCAGTTGCTGTGGCAACGAGCCCGACGCAGACGACGCCTCGCCCGTTGCCATAGAGACGGGGAACGCGGTACTCGCCGCCTCGCCGGAAGTGGTGGGCTACCGGCCCGGAAATGGCGTCACGAACTTGGCGGCGCAACCTGACCCTCCCCCGGATTACAACACAGTGGTTTCGCCCACAGAACCCGCGCAAACGTCATAGCAATAAACTATAGATAGATAAATAGTGTGTAATCATTCTCCAAGCAGATGTAGGGTGGAAGTTGGCTGGGGGTCTATGACAACCACCACCAGACCACGGAGGTTATTTGTCTTTTAAACTCCTTGACCACCCCCATAAAACTTCCACCCAACATCTGCTTGGAGATACTCTGTCTGTACGATATAAAAAAAAAACACTTATATATACATCAGTATTTGCCTAACTATATAGATATAGATTTGTATACCAGGCATAAGTAACATAGCTAATAACGTTGCAGACGTGAATCCAAAAAACGCATGTTCATTTATTTTTGTTCAGTAAGTCCGTGAAGCTAGTACAAAATGCAGTAACTACTAACTGTCACCCGATAATGGCAGGTACGCTGACGATGCGTTCTTCGTTTTACACCCACAAGTTAATTCTAGAATGATAGATCGTAACTTTGTCCTAACAAAAATAAACAGCTTGTTCAAAGAAACGTCTTATGCTGTCTCTCATCGTCATTGGCTTGTCTCATGTAGTGTGTGTGCATGTTTGCCGGTGTGTATGTTCGTGTACTTGCATTTGTTTGTTTGTTTGTTTGTTTGTTTGTTTGTGAGCACGTGTTTCTGTGATTCCCAGTGCAGAGTGAATAGGGCACGGGTCTAAGGTGATATGAGCTGTGCTCGGTCATGGAGACAGGAACTTCTGGAGACATCATACAACATGGAAGATTGAGGTTTTATTGAGGTTTATTGAGGAAAAGCTCTCCTTTAGGTGCCCACCCGAGGGTGGCAGCTGCTAGTATTCTTCCAGGAGAGGGAACATACATGTAAGACATAACAATACATCACGTACAATTACATATACATTTACATTAGTATTTTAAAAGAAAAGAAAAGAACTGGGCGATCGAACATCCCATGGATGAACTGAACCGAACCGACCTGTTGCGTTGCGATGTTAGCCTGGGTACCATCCTATGTGTATGCCGGGGCTCCCATACTCGCTCCCTAAGAAATATTTTTACTATTTTTTTAGGGGGAGCGAGTATGGGAGCCCCGGCATACACATAGGATGGTACCCAGGCTATTACGATGTCGGCCATGGCCTGAATCATATTTTTCACGTTCCTCAATAGTGGCATTATTAGTCATACCATTTCTTGTCAACTATACATCATCATATATTATATATCATAGCAACCCTGGCTTGCTTGACTTATGTCGGTTGCCTTTCTTCCTAACTGAACCACCACGGCAATCTATTGCATAATGCAATGATATTATATAATATCATAAGATATATTATATTATCATGCGATATACAAATCTAGGACGTTGACATATGATATTACATAACATCATATAATCAAGTGCATTATCCGATTGCGTCATACCTCAAGCGTTAGATTTCCCGCCATATTTCCAAAGTGGGGGCATTAGAACGTAAAACTAGCCGAAATTAATAATGGGTTTGTAGAATTTTGAAACACAGTATGACGCATTTGTATAAATAATTTTATAGCTTATGTTATTGCCACAAAAATATGCCGGGTTTGAATATGAGTACAATCTTTATTTTTCATCATGCTAAACTAAGCTGAAAATGTGCCGTCGCCCTCTCCATGACGAATCCAGTTACGTCATCCAAGGATGGGTTCCCGAGTTCAAAGTTTATCCTTTGTGCAAAGTAGTTCTTCTAACACTTTTTGTCGTAAAATCAACAAAACGGACGTTATTTTATTCCATAGTTATATTTTTGTAAATATTTATGTTTTTGCAACGTAATTCACGTAGTTTTATAGTTCTATGGTTGAGAAATTATTTGGCGGAGGACTACACAGTGACGTTATCGTGACTCAGCGCGGAAGGAGAGAGCGGCAAACAGACCGTCGGCCATCTTTACCGAAGAAATACGTGAACTCTTCCTTGTTCGTTTATTTAGTTTTCCCCTATAAATCCCACATCTATGGCACTGAAGAGAATCACGAAGGTAAGATCTAGTTTTGTTACGAGTTTGGAGGCACTAACGGGCTCTTTAACGGCCTTTTCTTCCGTTTTTACCCCGCCAGGTTTTCCGTGTTGCACTGCCGGCATTTTTCTGGGATGAATATTTTTCGCGCGCCAGTCAGCAAAACCAGAAACTACCGTCAGAAAATCCCCCTAAAACACACTTCCTCTTCACACCGCTTCCTGCCAAAACATCAACCAGGTACAGAAATCTCAGAAAAACCCGCTCCGGTGGCATACAAGGCCATGTTTTGTACAAAACATCAGAGTTTTCTGGCCCGAATTCGGGTAGGCATGGCGAGTAACCTTTGACTCACGTTACGTACGTTAAATATAGAACACAAGGACTTCAGCACGACCGGTTTTAGCTGGTCAATTCCGCCTCAAAACAGCCAAAAAATCCTCAGATCTTCGTTTTAAAGACTGTCTCAGTGTTCTGATGTAGACAGGAGGTTACGTACATCCGTTTTGAGCTGTCCAAACCCATATAAAAGGCCGGCAGTTACATAAATGTTGTTTACAGGATGGAGGATGACATTTTATATTATGTTAGCGGAAAGACATGAGACTAGGAAAGGATGTCCGACAAGACATATTAAATAAAACTCTCCTGTTAAACAAGCAAAATTACGGGGAGTAAAATAATAAAACTGAAAAACAAGTTTGGGCATGAGTTCACACGTGTTTTGAGTTCAGGCATGAAACTGAAAGTGGTTTGAAAGTGAAAGTCATCTGGAAAAATATCTTGAGAAAAACAGAAAACAGCAGAACACTGTGGACTTCACAGAAAACACGTTTTACATCAAGAGCAAAAGACAAATACAGGGCTCGAAATTAACATTGTCCCAGTGTCAAATGACACTAAATTTTCAGCTTGGGACAATTCAAATTACGTTTCGGGACAATTTTGGGGCAATTGGAAAATTCTAAGACCATCCACGTCATTTGGGAACGCGATCCATCCATCCTGCTGCAGACTGCTGGCAGCCTACAAATACTCTGACAAACATTTAAATTTGACCAATCAGGGATTCCAAATATCAGGGACGGTGCCATGCCCATGATATTATCATGTATTTCCCAACATTTACTAATAAAGTGGACTTCAAGTTGTACAAATTCAGTTGTTGTTTTCTTATTTTTGTCATCAACTTATTTCCTGAAAAGCAGGCTGGGACAGTCCATCTTCAGTTCGGGACAATTGAAATCTATGTTCGGGACAATTCTGGGACAATAGTGAAAAAAGTTAATTTCGAGGCCTGAAATATCTCTGAGAATGCATAACATCAAAATAAGTATCAGGGAATATAGAAATTTTACAACAACACAGAAAATTATACTCTGAAAATACAAATTGAACTTGAAATGTAGCACTTCCAGTGCCATGCCCTTAAATTTCAACTTAAAGAAAATGATTCAAAATTTCAAGTGATGTCACAAAGTCATTGTCCTTTATGTATTGCATTTGTCCTTTATTGTCCTTGACGTAATGTCACAAAAAGAACACTAAAGGCATAGTAAAGCCATTGTGATCCTTCTGTAAATATAACCAAATCTGGAATTTTTTTTATTCAAAAGTCTAGCGTACTAACATTGTTACCATGACCACAATAGCCTACAAAAATGAGATGAAATCCTAACTTACTTTGTAACTAACCTGATATACATCAGTATTACTATAAATCTTCTTGTAGCTGGCTCAGAGCATTTGACTCTAACTTGTGGAAATTAAGAACATCAACTGAAAAAAATAAACAACCACTATTAGTCAATTTCTTTGCTTATTACACTGAATATTCTGTATCTAACCTAGCAAGAAGGAGCTTGTTTACCATGTATTTACTTGTTAAGGTAGAGTAGGATTCAAACCTAAAGCCTCATCAGCCACAAGTGGGGTAGTAGAGGGTGAATGTTAATGTTTAAAATGTTTAGAAACGTACAGGACTGGAGAAATTATTGCCCATTAACATTTCTCCCACTCACAGTCTGATAGAGATGTACAGAGAATCAGATGTACAGAGTACTACAGAAAAATGTCCAGTGTAATGAAAATGTAAAACACCAGATATAATACTAGATCGTTTTGTCAGTGCCCCCTCCCCCTTCTCAGTTTGGCCGTTGTTTACTTCTCAAGTGATACTTGTTTCATGTCAAGTTTTCACATCATATCTGTAAGTAAGAAGAAAATGCAACAAATACAATTGAATTTAACAACAAAACAAACATTTTTGCTTGTCATGAATGATTATATAAGTGTACTACGCAGTGCAGGAAGGTGTTCTCTGAAAACAGGAAGTGACGCATATTTCATATCAGGTTTTCACATCATATTTGTAAGTAAGAAGAAAATGTAACAAACACAATCAAATTTAACACCAAAGTAGACATCAGATTGATGTTGTTTAACGTTTTTGCTTGTCATTACAAAGCGTATTGCCCAGTGCAGGAAGGTGTTCTCTGAAAACAGGACTTGACGCTTGTTTCATATCAAGTTTTCACATCATATTTGTAAGTAAGAAGAAAATGCAACCAACACAACCAAATTTAACAACAAAACAAATGTTTTTGCTTGTCATGAATGATTATAAAGCATACTGCGCAGTGCAGGAAGGAGTTCTCTGAAAACAGGAAGTGACGCTGATGTAGTGGGTGTAGTGAGCTCAGGTTGTGTGAGATCAGGTTTAGCCTTGGGGCAGGTACATGTGATTGTACAGTACAACAGTTTACTGTCTAGTTGTACAGTACAGGAAGCAGGTCTGGTGTATTTACAATAGGAGATACTCAGGGCTTGAAACTCATGTTTGGGAATAGTTGCACTGGTGCATCCAACTTCAACCTCTCAATCCAACCTCTCAATCCAACCTCTTCTTCTGAGCTTGATTCTGAAATAGAAGCTAACTTCAAAATCTTAAACAAGTACTACAACAAAGATTCTATTATTTTTCTGACACTTGGATGCCAAGAATATCCTGTATACACATACACTGTATACATTTTAATCTGTACAAAAACACATACAGGAATATTTGGGTGCACCAGTGAATCCATAGAAAAAATGGGTGCACAGCTCAAATTTTGGGTGCACTAAGGTGCACATGCACCCAGTATTTTGAGCCCTGTCTTTACCTAAACCTAAGACTGCACCTGTAAGTTAATTTGCATACTGATATCGGGCATCAGGAGGTAAGTCATCACCAATATGCTAATGACCTGTCATGTGACGATGAAGGATGAGGTCTAAAATTAGACAAATGTTTTGGTCCTTTTTTTCCATCAACATAGTACTATAGCGATGCTGCAAGTCTTGTATAACATTCAAATATCATTCTGCATCTTTCATGATGTAAGATTTAAGCTTTAATAGTGCTTTTTAATAATTCAGACGGCAGCTGTCATCTCTGTGAAGCCATTCCTTTATTGATTTTGAAGGTTGTCCTGTGCCATGCCGTGGTCGTGGTGTGTTTCATACAACATATTGTTCTGGGTCACGCTTATGTTAGGCCTAGGAAAAAATGTTGTGTTTCCTGACTATTCTGACTAAAGCAATCTCTATGATATTGACACATACTGCCTCAAATATGCACATTTGAACCAGTATTTGATACATTGGGCATTTTAAACTGCAGACACAAACCCCGAGAAGAGTCTGGTGGTACCCTAAAATCATCTCTGGATCCTTCCAGTAACTGTTTTTCGTCACAATTTTAGGAATTTCTGCTTCTTGTATGTCTATATACATTTGGGATAGTGTTGTTTCAACTTAGTATGTACACAAGTGACTAGAATATTACCTTTGAAAAAAAACTGGTTTCCAAGCCCTAAAATCTGAATTGGATGCGTTTAAAAAACGTACTGGTAGTAATTGAGAACCAATAAATCCCATTGCTGCTGCCATATTGTGCAGAGCTGTGTGTATTTTTAGCTCAGGAGTCACACTGTTCCATGTTGGGTCTCTGCCCCTTTTTGCCCACTTCCACCTAACCATGCATCATCAAGCTAAACATAGCTGCACATTCGTAACCCCTGACAAGCCTGAACATAGCACCACATTTGGATACAGTGTTTAAGTCATTTTGTGTGACATCTTAATTTCCAAAACATCATTTACAACACATTTCAGAAACAATTTCAGCATAAACATAGCTGCACATTCGTAACCACTGATACCGGTAAGCCTAAACGTAGCCCCACATTCGTGTACAGTGTGTGAGTCAGGGGTGCATTTTTGTGTGTGTGCCAGCCATGTCTGGCTGGAGGGAGTTTCCTGTCTAGAGTAGGGCAGAGCCAACAGACTCAACTTCAACACTGGGCTATTTCAGATGTTAGGTTCCAACATTGAGCTATTTCAGACCAGCGAGTTCAACTTCACATGGCCTCGCTAGCTACAGGAGCGAAATGTGTGTCAATCCAGCAATCCAGGGCATTTAAGGACATTTTCTTTGCATCATCTATATCTTAATTATCCCAGCACATCGGCAGAACGTACTGTGCCTGTGTGAAACCCATTTTTCACGGTTTTCGTTGGATTTTTGGTCAACGTTGAATCAGAATTTTGCCTGTTGCAGACGATATTTTCTCCAACATAGCATTTGGAAACTGCAGATGGGATGTTAACCCTATATGCCCAAATACGACCTTATATGAGACGTTCTGCCGAGGTGCTATGTACAATACACTACAGGTTTCGCGCAGGTGCAGTACGTTCTGCCAACAAGCTAGTTCTCCCATATATAATAGTCCATATAATAACCATGTTTCCTTTTTTTCACCCCCCCTCTGCCCCCCCCAGGAGTTGCAGGACCTGGGTCGGGACCCCCCCGCACAGTGTTCCGCTGGACCAGTAGCAGGGGAGGACTGTAAGTTTTACACGGTTGCAAACACACACAAGCATTTTCAAACATAATGATTCAAACACCTGCATGCGTGTGTCAAACATTCATTTTCAAATGCATGCATATGTTTTCAAACACACATATTCAAAACATGTTGCCAAACGCTTGCACACACTTTCAAACACTAAGGCTACAAATATTAGATAGGCAGCAAACAAGGCAAATGCAGATGGCAGACTTCACCCCCTTATTTCTACCACCTCAGACCCACAGACAAAGCTAGCAGTATGGAGGATGTGTGACATTCTGTCTACTGGGAATTGCACAAACACACATTTTTTTCTTCACCATTTTGTGCACTGTTTTCTTCTGGAACTCTACTAAAATTCTACTTTCATAAGTCTCAATAATCAAGACTGTTGTGATCTTGAAGTTCAAATTCCAACTGGTCTTTATGTTTTTTATGTTTTCCTCTCTCCACAGTATTTCACTGGCAGGCAACGATCATGGGCCCGGTAAGTGAACAGTTCTGGTATGAAATAACTCATGAATGAAACCATACATAACGCTTACTTTGGGTTGGGAAAGCCTTGCAAATTTTAATGGTAAATGTACTGTGCCGGAAACCTTTCAATGCTGAACGTTTTGTGTCTGTTTAAAATTAAAACTTTACATCCAACACAAAGAAGTTCTCTCACCTAGAGCTTTCGACCAGTCACTCTGGTCTTCCTCAGTAGACTGACCCAGTGAGGCTTGTCACGTGGCTTCTTTGAAGTGTGACGTCAACACTGGGTCAGAGGTATCTGGTAGCCGATGTTGGCCCTCGTCGCGGTTAAGTGAAGGGTGATGGGCCCTGATGTATATAGCTTCCTTCACCCCCCTCACAAAGTAGTCTTTTGTTTCTGAACTACTGTTAGTTACTGTATCAATCTGAATTATTACTAATCTGACTTATTTTTGTCCCAATGCTGACAGGCGGACAGCCCCTACCAAGGCGGAGTGTTCTTTTTGAACATCCACTTCCCCACAGACTACCCCTTCAAACCACCCAAGGTAAGAGTAAGGGTCTAGATGGGGTTTTGAGGATGCACGATTAACAGCCATTTTCAATGTCATGAATTTTATCCTCTGATGATACCCATAGTTATGTCTTGTATAGTAGTGCAAGGTACCAGGCGAAAAGAATTTAGAACTGTATATAGAACTTTATTTGACACAACAAAAGTATGGCAACTATCAGAGGCCTTTAACTACATATAGACATACAGGTATATATATAATAAGGCGTATTTCTCTCTCCCTTTTGCAGGTGCAATTCACAACAAAAATCTACCACCCCAACATTAATAGTAACGGCAGCATCTGTCTAGACATCTTGAGGTCACAGTGGTCACCAGCCCTCACAATATCAAAAGGTAAGGTCACAGGTCATAGGTCACCAGCCCTCACAATATCAAAAGGTAAGGTCACAGGTCATAGGTCACCAGCCCACAATATCAAAGTCACCGGCCATGTCAAACGAAAGATCTGAAAGCAGTAAATTCTACATCAGGAAAACCCATAAAGAAGTGCAGTCATAGTTGTACTAGAGAAAGTTTTTTTCAGTTTCATGCTCTTGTTTGTTTATTAGTTTTGCTGTCGACTGATGTTAATTTCCTGGCAGTGTTGACTGATGTTTGTTTGTTTATTAGTTTTGCTGTCGATCGGCTCGCTGTTGACTGATGTTTGTTTGTTTATTAGTTTTGCTGTCGATCGGCTCGCTGTTGACTGATGTTTGTTTATTTCCTGGCAGTGTTGACTGATGTTTGTTTGTTTGTTTATTAGTTTTGCTGTCGACTGATGTTAATTTCCTGGCAGTGTTGACTGATGTTTGTTTGTTTATTAGTTTTGCTGTCGATCTGCTCGCTGTTGACTGATGATTGTTTGTTTGTTTATTAGTTTTGCTGTCGATCTGCTCTCTGTTGACTGATGTTTGTTTGTTTGTTTATTTAGTTTTGCTGTCGATCTGCTCGCTGTTAACTGATGTTTGTTTATTTCCTGGCAGTGTTGACTGATTGTTTGTTTGTTTATTAGTTTTGCTGTCGACTGATGTTAATTTCCTGGCAGTGTTGACTGATGTTTGTTTGTTTATTAGTTTTGCTGTCGATCTGCTCGCTGTTGACTGATGTTTGTTTGTTTGTTTATTAGTTCTGCTGTCGATCTGCTCGCTGTTGACTGATGTTTGTTTATTTCCTGGCAGTGTTGAATGATGTTTGTTTGTTTGTTTGTTTATTTCCCGGCAGTTCTGCTGTCGATCTGCTCGCTGTTGACCGACCCGAACCCAGACGACCCGCTGGTCCCGGATATCGCCCGGATTTACAAAACGGACAAGAAGAAATACAACGAACAAGCCAAGGAGTGGACCAACAAATACGCCATGTAACGCCGTCACTGGGCCTGCCGTCACCACACTGCAGCCCCCCCTCCACACCCTCAGCAGCCCCCCATTCACACCCACAAACCCCCAGGTCTCTGTAAGCACCCTGACGCGCTGGCCTGTTGAGTGTCCTTTTTGTATCTTCAGTCAAACCACATTTGTGTAAGGCATAAGAAAAAAAGTCCTTTTCAGTCCTGAAAAATGTGTGTAATTTTTTTAGGACTGAAACAGGAAACGCAACATTTTTTCCTAGGCCTTCGAACTACCTGGTCAATATTATACACAGTTAAACCTGACCAGTTCTGTATATGGACCACCTGGCCATATTATAGTTATACACAGTCAAAACTTGTACTAGTGACCACCTCTGTATAAGGACCATCGATACACAGTCAAAGCTGTACTACATAGTGACCACCTCTGTATAAGGACCATCGATATTCTAGTACAGTCAAACCTGCACAGTGACCACCTCTATATAAAGACCGATGTTTTGGTGATTCCCATTGACACAAGCACAAAAACCCTGTCTATAGTGACCAGTGGTCCACATAAACCTAATATTGAACTTCTTGGGCAGTTTTGGACAGAATCCCCGTCCAGTTTTTGGACTCATGAAAAATACCATCTTTCTTCCAAATATGGTCCCAAACTGGCTCTCAGTCAATCAGAGGCCTGTGAGGTACTGTCCGCTTAATATTCATGAGCTGGGTCTGCTCTGATTGGCTGGAGACTATAACACACCAAATAAGGCAGGTTTGCAAATATATTTACAACTTGAAGGTGCAAAGAAGGCCCAACAGAAAGCCAGAGTGTCAGTCTCCCCTCCCTTCCCCAACTCTTTCTCTTTCCTCATTGTAAATTACGAACTATGTGTCCCCACCCCTTTTTGTTAGATGGTATCACCCAAATGTCTCGATGTATTCGTTTTAAATTAAAGCTCGTTATGTATGTGGGTAATTGATTAGGGAGGGGGTGCAAACAGTACGTAACGTTTCGGTCAAATATGTTTGTATTTAAAGTATTTAAATCCTTCCCGAAGCTCAGAGAAATTTTAAGTGTTTCGTTGAAAGTTGTTCATGCATGCCTACAGAGGTTAGTTTGTCTGGCTTGTGAGAGGTGGGGTCAGGGTTTGGGGGTCAGAGGTCAGGGATGGGGGGGGCCAGAGGTCAGGGGTCGGGCTGCAGTGTGCAGACACAGCTAAGGGGAATCAAAGTGGTGGGGGAGGGGGGCGAAATGGACTAGCATACGGGGAAATGCCAGCGACAAAGGGGGGGTGGGGGCGCTTTAGCAGGGGGATATTTCCGGGTGGATTTTTTCACACTCAATAATTTTGCTGCCATCTTAGCCGCTGTGTTGATCGTCGGGCTTTTTCACCATCTGCAAGTACGGGCCGCGTGCCGTTTGTATATTCTTCTATCTCCACTGGGGTCTGCCTGTAAGGGTACATACAGTAGGGCGGGATGTTATTAAACGATGTGCGATGTTTTAATTAATTAAAAGCTCTTTTGTTTGTCATGTGGAGAGACAGTACTTATAAATGTCGACTGTACAGCTCACCAAGGTTCTGTTTGTAACCACTTCTTCAGTAATCAGACGTCACCAGAAATAAAAAACAAAAAACAGAAGAAACTGTCAAAGTGTCTGTTGTTTTACATGTAACGGTTACTTATGTAAGAGTTTCTATGGTTTTCACCATGGCATGTGTTGTAAGGCCAGTTGGATTTCCCTTTTCTTGGATTTTTGCAGAAAATTTGGAGTTTTGTTCTTAATTTAAAGAAGCAATTGTCAAAAAAGACACTAGGAAGACAAACCGGTTGAGAGTCGTCACACGTCTCCAAGAACCAAGAATTTGAATTGGTGACAACTAAAGCTGATTTTGTTCTCTTTACCCAAAGACCTACACAAGACTTTGCCCACTCACAATGGGAAGGACCCAGAATGTTTTCAATTAATAAGTGTGGTGGGTTCTAAGTTACACCTTTGAGTCTGCCAAAGGATGGAAAGAAAAAGATGAATGAATGCAGAGACCTTTATTACTTGGTGAAACAACCACAGGTCTTGACTCCACACCCCTCCCCTTGCACACATAAATTTATGTGACATTCATTCAAGTCCAGGGTGAAAGTTTGACAGGACTGATAAATTGGAAATGACCCAGACAGTTCTGAGTACATTGTAGCACACACCTGGTGAGATAGATAAAGAGAACAAGCTTGGCCCCAACATCTGCTTTGGTATCACCTGGATACTTCATTATGTCCATTAGCTGACATTACAGCAGTGCTTTTGTGAGCAACTAATCTTCATGGACATTGGTACATACAAACATACGACACACAGATTACATACAAATCACTACGGTTAATATTTACAGACAATGCCCATATTGTTCACGCAGGTGTTCAATTATATCATAGAGGTAGAATGGGAGAACCTCCTTGGTTGTATCTAGCGCCTGTGGGCATGTGTGTATTCATGCAGCCGTGGCAGTGCATGAAGCAATTATTGTGAAAAAAACAACAAACAGGAATCCTAGGTACACTTTAACCTTTGCATAAATTGTTAAAAAGTTAAAAAAACTACTCCCCGGCATTCAATGGTTTCGTCCGCACCCCTCGTGAGCTCACGTGCACGTGACCACCTGGTGACCTTTAACCCGCAGGTGGTCGGAAAACTTCAAGCAGAAGTTTCTAAAGTAAAATTTCCGCGTCCGGAAAATTCCGGCGTCGCCAGCCTTTCCGGATCCCAAGGTTATTTCGGACAGGACAGGTTAACGGGGTTCTTACGTCACGGCGGTCAGATGAAAGGGCGCAGGTGAGCAGGTAAGGTAAATTCTCACCTGTGGGAACTACCCGGAAGTCGTGCAGGTAAGTTACCTGTGATCACCGCCGTCACACACCTGGAAAGTGGACATGCCTACTCTCCAAGCAGAGGTTGGGGGGAATGATCGTTAGCTTTTTATATATGCCTATAGCCGTTCTTTTGTCGCTAATCCCACCAACCTTCGGTGGCTGCCGACCTTCTCTGGCTAATGGATACTGTCTTGCCACCGAAAGACATGCCAGCGACCGACCGACTCGGGTGGGCGGGTTTCGTTAGCCTCTACCAGGCTTCGGGAGTCAGCTGGAAAGAGTAGAAATTGGTCAAACAGACAGATACCATGCCGAGGGAGTTGGAGAGTACAGTTTGCCGCACCCGAGATAGCGGACCAACTCCTCTGACATGTTAACTCTCTACATAAATAATTACTTTTTACGATCTCCCACCCCGCATCTGTTTGGAGATAACAGCCTTCCTGTTATCACTGAGAGCTCAAAGTTCTGGTGCGATGCTGACGTCACAACGCCCAGGCCCGGCCGGGTATTAGGTGTGAAGGGATAAACAAATACTTCATATCAAGAATATAAATATACACAAATAGTGCTCATTACTAGTTTTCTTTCCAACTTTTTTATGCGTTATGTTGCCTTTTTATCATACTTATCGTTAGGAATTGTGACTTCAGCATTACTTCCTTTGCAGCTTTGATCCAGACGCGTCCGTCTAACAACACAGCCAGGAGGTCACAGATAGAACAGCGGAACGGACGGGCTGCGGTAACCTTGATCCCAGGTTGACCTTGGGCCTGAGCCCCGGACTGACCTTGGGCCCAAGACTGACCTTGAGCCCCGGGCTGACCTTGAGCTCCAGGCTGACCTTTAGCACCAGGTTGATCTTGAGCACCTGACTGACCTTGACCTCAGGCTGACCTTGACCCCATGCCCCCCGGAAGATGGGGATTCTGTGCTGCTGTTTCGGCGCGGAGGCTGAGGCCGAGGGAGAGGGGAGAGCGGCGGCGAACGAGGTATCTAAGTTAACTTTTTTTGCGGCTACTGCTTGCCTGATAAACAATCGTTAGTTCAAGAGGTGTTTGACAGAGAAAACACGATTTCTGTTAGTAAAAGATAGGAAGGACGGTGAAGGAAAAGGGAAGGAAGAAATAAAGGAAAAGTACCATACAGACATGGAATAACCTGACCCGCGTAAGGAAAATGAGAATTGAGACTTGTGAAAAGGGCAATCTACGTCCACCACACAAATCATAATCGACCGTGGGACGGGGGGCGATACAGACTTGATAATATATAGAAGTAACTTGACACCCCCCCCTGTAGAAAACCTCCCTACTTCGCCGCAAGGTCACGGAACCTCCGCTGTCACGTGGCGGAACCGGAAGTGACGCACAAGTGACGTCAGTAAGATTCATGAGTATTAAACGGGCCCGAAGCCGGGAGTCAGTCGCAGGTGAGACAATTCAGTTGTTACAGGCCGTGTTTGTTTGTTTGTTTGTTTGTTTGTGTGTGGCGATTGCTGGTTGACTGATTGGTGCATTGGTAGGTAGGTAGGTAGGTTGGTTGGTTGGTTGGTAGGTTGGTTGGCTGGTTGATTGATTAATTGATCAATTGATTTGTTTTCATGAGAGTTCATCTGTGTTGGTAGTAATCATAGTAAAACGTTGAACTTTAATCCAACACATAATTAACACAGAGATCAAAGTGATTGGAGGTTTTCAGTTTGTCCGTCTGTTAGTCAACAAGATAACTCAGGAACGGCTGGATGGGTTGGTTTCATACTTGGTGTGTTAACGTTGGGAGGGTGTGACGACAACTGGAAATGATGAGATTTTGGGCCCCCTAGTTCCTGACCTTGGAACTGCAGCGCAACTTCCGGTTTTGATATCTAGAGATGCTAGGGTCATGAATTTTGTTTGTTTGTGGCGATTGCTAGTTGACTGATGCGTCGGTTGATTGATTGTTTGATTGATTGATGGATTGATTGATTGATTGAGTGATTGGTTGATTGATTGATTGATTGATTGATTGATTGATTGATTGATTTGTTGGGTAGATAGCTCTTTCCTAGACCCTGGAATCTTTCCTGACTTTTTTTCTCCCCAATTCCCCACCGGACAGAATCTCCGACTCACGGACAACAAAACGTCCAGGTCTTCCGCGTGCAGGTGCCGCACCTAGACGAGATGTACAGCGACGCCTGTCAGCTGCTAGCGGAACTGCAGCAGGAGCACCAGAAGCTACAGGAAGGACTGAAGAGGTTCAAAGCGTTGTTTGGCTGCGATGAAGCCAAGACCCTTTCAGACTGCCTGGTAGAAATAAACAGCAGACAAAGTATGCAAAGTCTTCACTTATTTGCACATCAATCAAAAGTTTGTGCTTATAAACCTGCATTTTTCCTCTGGTCTCTCAGTCACTGGCGAAAGCTAGTGGATGCTACCTGAAACGTCTGACCGTTTCCAAAATCATATCCAGTTGCTTGAGATATTTACCTGGATGTCTAACATTCACCAAAGCAGACAAAGTACGCCAAAGCTAGCTGATCTTCAAAACATTACGGACGTTTTCAAAGACAATTTCAAACTCTAGAACAAATGGCACAGAGTATGACTAACGTAGACAAGCGCATGAACAATAGATCTGAGTAAAGTGAGGAAAATCGTGTTAAGTGCCTTCCCAATATGCAGGGCCTTGGTTCTTGGTTCCGAGGTTGGCGCCACATGACCCCACCTGTTGTTTCTCCGTCCATAGGCGGCACGACGTTCCACCTGATGTTCTCCAGCGCCCACAGCTTCTCCCTGTGTCCCGAGGGTGACGTTACCGCGCCCCAGGTCACACAGGCCGTGGCCGAGGTCGCCAATCTTAACCTGGCTCTGAAGGAGATCATTAGGTATGAACTTGGCCTTGGTACGATAGAGGCATCTGCATGATTTACCTTTCCGTCTCTGCCTTGTGTGTGGGTAAGGCCATCTCTGACTGCCTGGGTCTGCCAAGTCTGGGTAAGGGGGTGATGTCTGCCGTCTCTGGCTGCCTTCGGTGTGTATAAGGGGGTGAAGTCTGGGTAAGGGGGTGAAGTCTGCCATCTCTGACTGCCTTGTGTGTGTGTGTGTGTGTGTGTCAGTGAGGGGGTGAAGTCTGCCATCTCTGAGTGACTGCCTTTTCCTTTCCCAAGCCGAGCTCCGAGACTCCAGCTCAGCCTGCAAAGGATTGTGCGAGAGAAGGAGTCGGACCGGGAACTTGTGGAGCGGGAGCACTGCAACACCTGGGCAGACCGTCAGAGGGCGCTGCTGAACTTTGACAAGAACCTTGCCGTGTTCGAGCAGGGTGTGAGCCGGGTCGGGGAGATCCGCAGCCGGGCGGAGCAGGTTCTTACGGACGCCAAGGTCGCGGTGGACGGCTAAGAAGGTCACGTGAAGGGCGCGTGATCGTCACGTGAAGGGCGCGTGATCGCCTCGTGATTTAGTCATGTCATGCCAACGACATGATAATAATGATAACCTTTATTGCATATTCATGCTATAAATGCAAAGATGATCACATGTTATGTACAACGTGTAAAATTAAGAATAATGTTGCAACACTATACGATTGTGGAAATATATTTTGTAGATTAGTGATAGCTTCTTCACCCTTTTTATAACACACGGATGCAAAGCTATATAAAACTTCATCCATTACTTTATAATGACTAAACGTTGAATATCTGACTGGCTTCAACAAAGGAAGAAAATGTTGAAGAAGAGTTCAAACTAAGGTTTTAGGTTTTAAAGATGTTTCTCATTAAGAAAGAATTCTGTGTTAACTCATTATTTTGAGATATTACGAGAACCATTACGAATGTCTTATTAAGTGTACTCATTATTTTGAGACATTACAAGAACCATTAAGAATTTCTCATAAGTTATTCAATGTACATGTAAATGCTACCATTGTCTAAAAAGTATTAAGTGTTGTAATGAAATACACAATTCACCAAAAAGGATGCGATTTTAACCCGAATAAAACAATTTATTCATTCATTCATTCAACTTGTCTTCATTACCTTTTTTCTGGTTGATAAGTAATCTGCTCAGCCTGCCTTACTCTCTGGGTATAACCCTGAAATTTACATAAAATTGACTGTTGATACAATATGCAACCTCCTTTATGATAATAATATATATGTATGTATAATACAAGCCTAGTTTTGTTGTTGTATTTGAGTACTAGTATTAAACAGTTAAACCCAAAAACTTTGACACACCTCACATCACATTTGGTACTAGTACTCTTCACTGAAAAACACTGATAGAATTAGAAAGGTAACATTTGCAAAGCAAATGCATAATGTTCACCTTCTCATATGGTCTTCTCTGTTAATTCTTACTCAAATACATTCATATATATAGTCAGACAGGAGTATAAACATCTTGTAACCCAACACCAGTTACCATGGTGAGAGACGTCAACAAATCATGAGGTCATTGGCCAGGTCAGAGGTCAGTGTTTGGAATGGAAGCCCTGTGACTACTAAAAACTACATCCATGAAACAACAGACACGGTATATACGAAAATAGTTTCACCAGGTTGGTTAAGTATAAGATATAGGGGTAAGAGTATTTACCCTATATCCTATAGGTAACACAAAGTCAGCTTGCAACATTTCTCATGACTGTATGCATACATTATACATACATTGATGTAGATAATATTCAATTTACATCAAATAAGTCTATTTCCAGATTCTAGAGGCTAACATTCTTTCTTTCCACACTTCAAACTAATCTAACAACATATTTCTGATTTCTTTGACATGTACATTAAATATTTTATACAGACATCAATGTTAAAACTTTTGTTAAAACTTTGCAGCCCTGAATGCTGAATTTTAAGTACATGAAAACATTTACAGATGAAGCATGCAAATTTCTGGTATTTATTAATTGGGTGTAGAGGTTGGCATGTACATGTACAGTAAAAGTACATTTTATAACTTGAGTATCTATGCAAAAGTACATTTCCTAGTTTGGGCATGTACAGAAAAGTACATTAAATTTTCCTAATTTGGGCATGTACAGAAAAAGTACATTTCCTAATTTGGGCATGTACAGAAAAAGTACATTTCCTAATTTGGGCATGTACAGAAAAAGTACATTTTCCTAATTTGGGCATGTACAGAAAAAGTACATTTTCCTAATTTGGGCATGTACAGAAAAAGTACATTTCCTAATTTGGTAACATTTTCTAATTTGGGCATGTACAGAAAAGTACATTTCCTAATTTGGACTTGTACAGAAAAAGTACATTTCCTAATTTGGACTTGTACAGAAAAAGTACATTTCCTAATTTGGTAAGACATTTGCTCAGCAAACATGACTGCCATTCCAGGAACAGGTTTTGCAATTCCAGGAATATGTTTAGATATTTCTTCTGAAAAACATCATATTTACAACTTGTGAGGGTCCCTGGATTATTTCACATGATTTGTACCTGGCATAGTCCTCCTCTCATGATCAGTACATGCAGTTTATCTTCACTCTTTAGACTGTCTTTATAGAACAGTAAAATTCTTCCACATATAAGTTCATCTAACAATACTTAATCATCCATAGGCATAAAAACACATCTACACATAATCTGGCAATTAACTGGACTGTCTAAGTCCTCACATTTCATTTTCAGTAGTACTGAAATTCAATTTAAATGCTACATGTAGCCAGTTGAGATTTGTATGTACAACAATTTGTGTCACTGTGCACTGTAGACAGCGCAAAGTTAAACTCCTTAGGCCATGTTGACATGGATGCCATCCACGCGCACATGAATTTCCGGACGTTTTCAAAAAAAAAAAAAAGTTTTCAACCATACTGTAAATCGTACAAAACAGTTGCAAAATGAGCAAAAATATACCGTAAGTTACAAAAAAATAAGTAAAAACTATACCAATGTCGTAGAATGCCAAAATCAAACGAAAAAAGACAAAATTGTAAGGAAATGAACTTGAAGATTAGATTATTCGCCAAACTATATTATGTCCCATTCGTTCAACCCTCATGACCACGTAGATTTCATAATTAAAACAACTTTTTTTTTTGTCAAAACTTTTTTTTTTCGTCACGCGCGCATCAGTTTTGGGGCTCCCGGAGGATGTCATCCATATAATCAAATCAACATGGCCTTACTAAAAACACCTGAAGTAGCCACCCAGGTGTTCAGGTGGTTCTTGGCACAGCATCTTGTCTTCACTCCTGAAGATTTCCTACCATTGCACATAGTGAATCTCAAGCAGTTGGCATGTATTAAGATCTCTCCAAGTGCATGGATCTTAAAAGTTTGCTGGCATGTCTCGAGGTGGATCTTTGTCCTGCTGGCATTTTTTTTTACACAATATTTGCAAATAATTTGATGTCTTAATCAGGTCACAGACCCTTGACTTTTTTTGCCCTGCGGTGGCGAAGTTAATTTCACATTCTGAAGAAGTTAAACTGTTCTTCAACTCAAAATTTGACTCACCGGAATTTTCAACCGAATCACTCAGTCTTGCTTCCACATTCGTTGCGTTTCGCTGCGGTGTGATCATGTGATGTGTTGCATAAGAAATACCCCCATATACAGGGTGCTATATGGGTGGTACTGTAAGTGCAACCCATATAAAAGTATATATGTGATCCGCAGAACAAGAATTAAAACGTTTGCTGGCACGTCTCCTGGTGAATCTCAAGGTGGATTTTAAGGTGGATTTGAAGAAGTTTCCTGGAGCATCTCCAGGTGATTCTTAAGACATTTGCTGGCAAGTCTCCAGGTGGATCTTAAGAACGCCTCTTCTGTGCAGTTCCACCAACTTGAGAAACTCCTTGGGCAGGTTGTGCAGGAAGGCGGGGTCAAGGTTCGGGTTCATCTTCGTGTCCTGATTGGTCAGAAGAGATCATGTGTCAACCAATCACAACAGGGAATCACAGGTATCTGTGTCCTGATTGGTCAGATGAGATAAAACGTCAGCCAATCACAACAGGGAATCATAGGTATCTATGTTCTGATTGGTCAACCAATCACAACAGGGAATCACAGGTATCTACATGTATATGTCCTGATTGGTCAGAAGAGATCTTACCAACCAATTACAACAGAGAGTCGCAGGTACAGTATCTATGTTCTGATTGGTCAGAAGAGATCATGTGTCAACCAATCACATCAGGGAATCACAGGCAGCTACTGTAATTTACTTTATCAAACTCTCATGGTCTGAGAAAAATGGACATGTTCAGGGAACTATATATTCACAGTGGCGACAGGTGCAGGAAAAAGAAAGTCCAGGAATTATTTGTTAACTGTGCTGATAAGTTCACAGTACAAAAGTGACAGGGAAAATAGTGAACATAAAATAACAATGAAAAAATCAGAAATTATGTCCTGATTGGTGAGAAGAGAAGACTTACGGGCTTGTCGTAGTAGTGGTAGAGAAGTTTCTCTCCGGTATGGCTCACGTCGAAGGGCCAGAATCCAAACAGGTGAACCTCGTCACAAATCGTCATGGCGATGGTCGTCAGGTAGATACCTGCACAGGTGGGAACAGGGAATACCACAGGTGTGATACAGCACAGGTACAAGTCAGACACAGTGTTACAGTCACATGCACGCATGCACACACATCCACACAGACACGCACACACACAGCAGGGACACGCACACACACACACACACACATAATATTATACACTCCACATGCCCACACACACACACACACAGACAGACACACACACATGCACGCATGCACACAGACACACACACACAC